CCCCCCCCCCCCCCCCCCCCTTCAAGATAAAACTACGAATGCCATTTATTCTGTGTTACCCATTTTATTATGAAAAAAAAATCGTGAAAAACTGTGTCTAAGTGTTCCTATGAAACGTGAATCGAGATTTTAATGGTAAAATGTGGATAGATAGGTGGACTCGAAACTTTGAGTTTACCTGTAGAGGTCACTTGTTTTCACCTATAATTTTACGTCAGAGGATATCACGAAACAAAATATAGTCTCTCGCTCGGTTTAGATTTTATTTTTGTTCGGAAAGAATACTCAATTGGTAATTACATCAATCGGAAACATTGAGGAAGAAGATAAATGCAAATGTCTTGCAAGTTTTTTCCTTAGGAAGACGCAATGTCGTTTACTTAGAACTTCCGTTCGTCAACAATTCGTTGAATAGAGCAAAGAGCTTCAATACTTCCAGTCCAACTGCAAATAGTTATTTGCAACCGTACCGAAAAAGCAACAGAGTAGGTTGTCGACGCTAGCCAATGCGGTTAATACAAATGCCGTGGCATACCATGTTTTTGATGCACTTTGTATAACCTTGTAACGATAAGAAAAAGAAAAGAAAGAAAGAATTTGCATGTGTCACATATTATCTGCAAAAAAGACCATATAAACACACGTGTACATTTGAACAGGTAAACATGATAACCGTTTTTAATCATTAGGAAAACCGATCTCTTCATGAAAACCACATAACTCAATCATTGCTGAACGTTTACCGAAAAGTCTATTGGATTGACCTTTCACAAAAAGAAAATTGTTTATATCTTATATATTAGGAAAGGATTAGTTTTTCAATCTTGAAATGAAAGTGTCGTTTAATTCCTTTCATCTTCCACCAGCGATTGCTTAAACTTGTAAGATCGAACTTTTCAAGAAAATTCAAAGAAAAAATGGCTCTAATGAATTAGGATAATTACTATTTTTTATTTAGAAAAATTGGTGGATTAAAAGATTTCTCAAATTCAAGCATGTCAAAAAATAAATTAGGACGCATTGTTGTTGTCGGAGCAGGACCGGGTGGGCTTACACTAGCACGCATTCTACAACTCCATGGTGTTGAAGTCAAAGTGTACGAACGAGAAAGTTCTATTGATGCTCGACCTCAAGGAGGAACTTTGGATCTTCATGTGGAATCGGGACAATATGCTCTTCAAATAGCAGACTTATTTGACAAGTTTCAAGCACTTTGTCGTCCTGAAGGACAAGATATGCGCATCGTCGACAAATCTGGCACAGTTCATTATGAAGAAGTATCCAATGAAATTCGTTTTGACCGCCCAGAAATTGATCGACATGATCTACGACAACTACTTCTTGAATCACTCAAGGAAGATACCATTGCTCAAGGGCATAATTTACAAAGCATCCAATCATTGAGCAATGGTCAACATAAACTTGTGTTCGACAATGGTGTGACGGATATTGCTGATTTGGTCATTGGAGCTGATGGTGCATGGTGAGTTTTGATAATAGTTACAGTAACAATTGTCATAGATGATAACTTCTTTCAGGTCACGCATCCGTCCTCTTGTATCAAGCGCAATGCCACAGTATTGCGGTGTTACGATAGTGGAAGTACAATTCACCGAGGTTGATGATCGACATCCTGAGATTGCAAAATTAGTTGGTCGCGGTACCCTATTTGCTTCATCTGACAACAAAGGCCTTATTGGTCAACGCAATGGACATAATCGAATTCGTGTTTACATCACCCTACGGGTACCGGAAAATTGGGTCGCCGAATCAGGCATTGCTTTCGATAAACCAGAACAAGTTCGTGATGATCTCCTTCATTTATTCGTAGATTGGGACAATAGTCTGCGCAACATTATCCGTTTTTGCGATGCTAGTTTTGCTCCACGCCCTCTATATATGCTACCTATCAATCATAGATGGGAAACGCAACAAAGTGTCACATTACTAGGCGATGCTGCTCATCTCATGTCTCCTTTTGCGGGTGAAGGTGTTAATTTGGCTATGCTCGATGCTACAGAGTTGGCTCTTGCCATCATCAACGCAGACGATTTAAAACAAGCAATTCACAACTACGAGCAAAAGATGTTTTCTCGTGCCGCTAAAGCTGCCGACGAATCCGCAACAAATCTTGATCTATTTATTTCACCTGGAAATGCAGCAAAACTGATGGCAGAAATCTT